AAGCAACAAAATGAAATGGAGGAAACCTGGGTTTGTGAAATCTGAACTTTTGGAACTGCTCTCACACAGAGAGAAAGTAGGGGAGGAGCCCACCCAGCTCTGAAAGAGGAAAAGTTGTTTGGAGTTGGGGTCATTTGTGGGTTTTATGCTTGCTTTAGTCCTTCTTGGATTTACCAGGTGCCACCACTCCTTATGGAGTTCTGCCTTGTGGTATCTCTTTTAATCCTTACGGCCACTTTGCACAATAGGAATTAATATATCCCCCATTTCACAGCTAGTAAGTGACAGAGCTAGAATCTGAACTCCAGCCTTTGGACTCCAGGGCCATTGCTTTTTTCATTATACCTCAGCCCCAAGAGGCTGCAAAGAACGATGCTCAGTCAGGTTGCTGGGCAGGGCTTAAAAGCTGGTGTCGCAGCTCCAAGGAGTGACCCCTCAGGTTTGTGGAGCCCTTTCCTTCAGATTTCAGTGTCACCTCTTAAAACCCTAGTGGACCTACGAAGAGACTGAAGCGCAGAGAGATAATATAACTACCCTGGGGTGTTCGAGTAGGAGGTGGCAGAGCTGGAACTAGAACACAGTTCTCTTGCTTCTACCCTGTGCTTTATCTACTCTTCATTGAAAGGATTGCAAGTTTGGAGAAACCTTCTCTCCCAGCAGTCCCTCCTCTTAAAAGAAACCTCTCCATTGTACAGAAAATGAAATCCCCAAATGCTAGTATGCATATAACAAGTAGCTCAAAATTGTTGGTAATCAGAGACATACAATTTAAAACAATAATGTGAGATCCCTATTGAATTTGCAGTGATTAGGAAGCTGGCTACTGCTAGGTGTTGGCAGTACACAGAAACACCCCTGTCCTGCTGGTGAGAAGGTAGATGGAGCAGCTCTCCTGGGGAGGACTCTGGCGCTATTTAGTCAAATCAAGTAAAGTAAACCCTATAACCCTACAATCCAGGGAAATACTCACACCAGTCCAAAAGGGCACATGTAAGAGGATGTTCTTTTAGCATTGCTTTCAGTAGCTGGGAGATGGAGGTTACCTGGGTGGGTATCCCTGGGAGAGCAGAGAGGGAGTATCTGGTGGAAAATTAAGCAGAAATTTTTAAATGGAATTATTATATACTTAGCAGTATGAGCATATCTTAAAATGCAGTTATTTGTGAAAAAATAATAAACAGATACACAGATGCACATATATAAAGATTATGTGTGTGTGTATATATATATATATACACACATATACATACATACATACACACACATATATAGAGGTAGCCTGGATGTTTTGAGGCGCTGAAAGGCTCAGTGTCCATTTAATCTTGGCGTTTTGTAATTCAGCCTCCCCGCCTGGACTGCTCGACAGCTGAAAACTGGCCGCCCAAGGCTTTGAAATCGGGTAACCCAGCGACTCCGCACAGGAGCACGACGCACAGCAGAAGCCACACACATATATATATATAAAGGAAAATCCTGCTTGGTTCAGGTCCTAGAAAGTAAGAACCTCCATCTTGTCTCCTCCTCAGTAACTGGCACGCAGCCAGACACAGTGGGTGTGTGCACATGTTTGTTGAATAAATGAACAAAGGAGTACCTGGAGCCAGCCTGGCTGAATTACCCAGGTCATCCTGTGTGACCCTGTTTTAAAATCCCTGGGTATTGGTCAACCTGTCACTACCAACTTGAGACCAAATCTTTGTTCCATCAAAGAGATGGAATTAAGGTAGGGTGGCAGGCAGAAACCACTCTGTACTGAATACCTGCTATATGCCAAGGACTGGGGGGGATACCTGCAAATTAGAGATTATTGTCCCTATTTGATAGGTGGAAAATGTGAGACTCAAATTTATTTGCTCAGCATTATCTAGCTGGACCAGAATTTGAATCCAGGTCAAAAGCCTGGATTCAACTTACTCCAAAGCCTTTTATTTATCCTTTCCTTTTTATTACACTACACTCAACCCTTAAGGGGCAGAAAGAGGAAGCATCTCAATCTTCTTTCTTCAGCTCTGCCTCCAGAGAAGTGCTGTTTCCAGAATTCTTAGGGCCCAGGAAGGGAACACAGAACATTGACTCACCGAAGGCGTAAAGGATTCTGCCTGCACTGTTTCTTTTAGCCACAACCACTTTCTCATTTCCTGGCCCTAGTTCCTCTCCCTTGGTCCATATTACAATAACCTCCAAACTGGTCTTGTCCCCATTTTTGACTCTGCCCACTTTCAAATTGAATCTGCTTAAGCTATGGAGTGGCAAATAGGTTTGGCAAATAGGTAATGGAGTGACAAATAAGGAATGGCAAATAGGTTTCCTCTTTGCCAGCTTCAGTTGTTTGATGGTGACTGATTGGAACCAGGCATTTGTCAACTCTTTAGATCAAGTTTTTAACCTAGGGTCCACAGTTGATTTCACAGGAACCTATGAACCCTTGGACATTGTATGTTTAAAAAAATTTTTTTGGTGGGGGGAGGATGTGTGCGCATCTGTGCACTTTTCTGGATAGAGTCATCAGCTTTGATCATATCCTCAAAGGAATGCATGGCTCAAAAAAGCTTTATGCTCATCGCCTTGGCCTCCTAGCCTGGCTTTTGAGGCCCTGCATACCTTGGCAGCTGTCTGTTTCTGTATTCTTAATTATCACACAGATGGATCTACTTTATGGTCTCTGAGTGTACCTTCCCATCACTTCCTTGCTTTTGAATAATAGTATCCTGTTCCTTTTGTCTTGGTTGGCATGCACTGCCTCCCTCTTTAAATTATTCCTGTTCTTCAAGGCATAGTTTGAGTCTTTTCCCTAAGAAACCTCTTTGATTTGCTTCAGCCTTTCCTAATTTTCCAGTCTTGTGGACTGAGGGCTACAGAAGTGAGGCCATCCAATCAGAGTCACAGTTAAGATCAGAATTCCAATCTCTCAACTTTTGGAACCCTGTGCTCTCTGTGGCACCTGGCCTGCTAAACAGGGGAAAATTTTGTAAATTAGGAAGGTTTTGTTCAAAAAGAGATTTTTGTCTCACAGAAGATTCATCCCCAGGGTTCTTACCCTCTTTTAACATTCTTGGCTATAGACAGTTGTTTCTGCATAAAAGATGATTAAGAGTATATGTGGTAGGAGGCCCAGGACTTTCACCAGAAGAAAATTTTCAAGCTAGAAGTGAGAGAAGAGGGTTTCCCAACCTCCTCTCTCGACATTCTCCCCTCACATTTTGTGCCCCAGTCATGCCAGACCTCTTTCAGGACCTAATATACCCCTGCCGCTTTCTCTTCTGGATGAGAGGCTTTACTTCTGCCTGAACCATTCCTTCCCTCCCTTGTCTCCTTTTGTCTGGCTGTCTCAGTTGTCACCTCCTCAGAGAGGCCCTTTGGGTCATTAAGGCTGGTTGTACACCTGTACCTGTGCCTCCTTCATGACACTCCATGTGTGATGATGTGCTTGCTGGTTTCTCTCCCCCTTAGCTTTGTCAGTACCTGTCTCATTCCCTGTACCAGCACAGGCTGAGTGAATAAATGAGTACATGATGTGTCTCCTCTTCCAAACCTTCATCACCTGTTTACTTCAACAGCACAGAGGTTTAACTTGGTCCAGAGAATCATTTACTACAGATTATGGTACCAGAATGGTGCTAGGACTCAACCCCAAGCCTCTGGACACTCTGCCAGTGCCTTTTCATCTAGAACCCACTGAAGAGCAATCAGTTCCCCCAAACACACATTCCTCATAAGCAGGTCCTGCCTTGTTGGTGAAACACTCTTAAATTTTGGTCTCCCTCTTTCCTGGCCTCCTACACACGTCTGTGGGAAACCACACACTACAGGCTTTGGTTTCTTGCCATCATGAGTCCTCCCTCCACAACTAAATTCCCTAGGGCAGACGCTACATCTTTTCTGTACCCCCATCACAGAATTCAGCACAGGACCAAGCACATGTCATGTTGATTTGCTGGAGTCAGTTTAGTCTTGTGTCTCCCAGTTCCAGGTTCAGTATAGAGGAAGGCTGGTGAGGTGAGGATTCAGGCTACAGAGCCACTATCTACTTGAATTCCAGGCACTGTTTTGCCCCTTAGCTAACTTTGTGACCTTCAGCAAGTCACTCCACCTCCATGTGCCATGTTACTGTCCCCATGAAAAGAGATTAATATCAGCTCCTTAAGCTTGTGTAAAGAGTAAATGAGAGATGTCCGTAAAGTTCCAAGGCAATTCCTCTTGTAGTAGGTGCTCAGTTAGAGTTGGTTCTCTTTGCTCTCCTTCTCTCTATCCATGTTATATGGCTCCCTATTACTAGGACCCAGAATTCAGGCTTTTAGTGGTATACTTAAAACCTCATGTTTGTTAATTTATCCAGCAACTCTTGAGCTCTTACTGTGTGCTAGGCATTGGCATGTAGAGTCAAGTAGGCTCACATGGGCTTTCCTGGAAACCTAATCTAGCATTTCAGTTTTTCTTCCCATCTTTCCTTGGGCTCAAAGAGTTCCAATTTCCACACAGCCACCCTACAGATAAACTTGAGAAGTACAATCCTGTAAACTGAGAACTACATAAATGAGAAGTGTTGTTGGGCATTTGGCGCTGAGCATGGGGAAATTCTAAGGAAGGAGGAGAGACCTGTGGACTGGATGAGTCCAGGAAGCCTTCTTGAGAGAGAGTCCTCAAGCCAGGATTGTACCCCATTGCATGAAAGTAGGATTAGAATAGACAGAGAGGCCGGGAGGGAGCTTTCTGGACAGAGAGGGAGTGGGAGTGTCAGTGTATTATGACAGGGAAGGCACATTCTTTCCTCAGAAGGCTGGGAGGATAACAGCAGGGACAAACTCATTTAAAGGAAGAGGGAGAGAGGTAGGGGAATTCTGGGGTTGTGGGGAGTGGCCACAGGAGCTGGGATGGGTATTTAGTTCTCAAAGGCCTCTAACTATTTCCAGATTCATCCAACCACCTTGTTTGTTGATTTCTCATTTCTTCTACACTTATGTCCCTGGTAAGCTGTAGAATGAAAATATTTCTTTTTCTAGACTGTTGTCAGAAGGTGCAGATGTCAACGCAAGGCACAGACTTGGCTGGACAGCACTCATGGTGGCAGCCATCAACCGAAACGACAGGTGAGAGATCTCCTTCCACACAGGTCTCCCTTAGCCAGAGCTCCTCAGATAGTGATCCTGAACCTTCTCCTGCCCTTGCCTGTCCCCCTGCTGTCCTCTTCAAAGACAGGGAAATGGACTCAGCCCAAGGTACTGGTCTACACCTGGTGCAATGGGAAGTATAGGAGATATAGAGAGGGAAGATGTAGCTTTGGATCCCAGCTCCATCATTCGTTGGCTTTGTGACCTTAGGCGAGTTATTTGCATTGAAGCAACAAAATGTTTGAAAGCCTGCTGTTAAGTGGCTAGGTGTACTTGTGCACGTTATTATCACAATTCCATTATCTGTTATCTGTCTGTGTTAAGGAGTCTGCAGTCACTGTCCCCAGCAAGGGCTCCATTGGGCTGTTCCTTTGAAAGTTGTGATGGAAATTAGGGAAGAGGGGACATTCCTTCCCTCCCATTGGAGACCCTGCTGTTATTTTCCTACCCGGTCCCCCATTCCAATCTGAGTAAAGATTGAAATAGTCTACTTTGTATAGAGAGTTTTATCCCTTCTCACAACCACCCTACAAGATACATATTATTATTTTCATTTTTCAGCCAAGGGAATTGAAGCCCTGAGAGGTAAAGTGATGTGTCTAAGGTCACACAGATAGGATTTAGAACCTGGTCTAGCTGCCTGCAGACATTGTGTATTTTGTTGTACCTCACTGCTGCCTCCCTCTGCCAGATCCTGGGCTTGAGCTGAATGCTGCCTTTCCATCCCAGTCTCTAGCTGTGATTGTGCAAAAGAATTGATTGAAAAACAGCAAAGGAGATACTTTCAAAGAAGGCAGACAGGGCACTTCAGTAGTAGCCACTGACATTGATAGTTGAAGATACCAGTTTTCATTTTCCTTCAAGCAGACTTTTAAGGCTTTTATCTACCAGTACTGGCCAGTCGTAAATGTGGTGGAAACCAACTAGACAGGGATTTTATAATGTCAGGGTGGCGCTGCCTCAGACTGTACTGAGCTAGTTCTCTCTTCTCTGCTTCTCTGTCGTGAACTTGATATCAGTACTCTGTCCCCTTATATGTCTCTTTAGACCCAAGTGCTTAGTCTTTAAAAAAAAAAAAAAGTAAATAGGCTTTACAGTTGAGAGACTTGGAGTCCAGTCCTGGCTGTGACTCTTGGCTGAATTTCAGAATTCTGTGGACACCATGTTTCTTTACCTAAAATCAATTTTTTCTATAAACATTTGGTAGATCTCTACTCTGGGCCAGGCTCCATGCTAATCACTGGGAAGTCAGAAGCCTTGGGAGCTCTTGGTCTAATGTGGAAAAGACAGGCAGGAAGAGAGACAGAGTATAGTGTAATCAGTGATGTCAGAGAAGTGTGGACAGGATGTTATCAAAGCAGAGGGTGTGAGGGGACTGAATGTGGTAGCAGAGTGGATAGATTCTCACTGTAGTATGCTACAGGTTACAAATGGTTGATGTTATTCTCTGCCACCTGCACTAGACCTCTCTATCTACAAACACATGTGTGTTTATTCTACCACTGATACCCTCCCCTCCACCCCACCCACCTGTCTTTCCCAGATTGCAGGTATCTCCATCTGCAAGAAATATCCAGAGGTAGAGAAACGGGAGGGGTTGTGTGCCCTTCTGTGTGTTGTATTTTCAGTGTTGAAAAGGGATAGGAATAACACTGTAAGAGTCCTGCCAGTCAGCGAGCAGATAGCTAGTAGATGTGCTTCGAGGACATTTCTCTCTGAAACTATTGAGTTGTTGGTTTAACTGATTGCTCTGTCTATCCAGGGCCATTAGCAAATCAGTGATGTGCATTGAGCAAAGTGAATGTTGGCTTATTTACTTGCTTTGGTTCCTAGGACTAATTATTGGTGTTTTAAGCTTCTATTTTGTGCCCTCCTCTTCCTTCTAGTACTCAGGGAGGACAGATTTTTATTGAAAATAGCACACTTTCAGGTTGGATTTGTTTATTCATACCACAAAAAGATGTTGGCACCTACTTTTTGCCAGGCACCGTTCTTGACAAAGATCCCTGTCCTCAAGGAGCTTATTTCTATACTAGTGGTAGTCACTGGGTAGAGAGAGGCAGGGACAGACAATAAACAAAAAATATAATGCATAAGTAAACTGTATAATACATTAGAAGATAATGTGAATTATGGAAAAAAAGGAAAAGTAGAATCTGGTAAAAGGGAATGCCAGTACACTGGTCAGGGTGAGTAGGCCTCATTAGTAGGGTGCCATGGGAGGGGTCTTGAAGGATTATCGTGTCCATCCCAGCACAGTCTGCCAAGAAATTTTTCCTCATTAGAAGTGTGCTGATTGTCCTCTCATCAGTCCCCAAACCCTTCTGGAATCATATTGACCGAGCCTGAAATACCACCACCTTGAAATGAATTTGGATCAAGGGAAGGTAGAAGGGCAGCAGATTCAAGGCTCGAGGGAGAGATACTGAAAGATGCCCAGTCATTTCACCCTCAACTGCCTTTAGTGCGTGTCGAGTCCTTAGGGAACACAGTAGTCTCTATCCTTAAAAAGATTAACTTCTTGTGAACTTTTATTTATATGTGTATTAATTTATTTAATTTTCAGTAATAAAGAAGAGTGGTATTTTGTTTAATTCTGAACAGAAAATACAGTACTGTAGAACAAAATGTTAAAAGTATGCACGGAACTTATTTATAATTTATTCTCTCCCTTTATTTCTAAAAAAGCTTGAGGTGACTTAAAATACAAATATAAGTGTACACAGAAGAATTAAAACTGGATCAAGATTAGAGGTCATATTGGTAAAAGGAAAGATAATTGTCACGATTGAACTAGAGATTTCCTTTTCCAAAAATAGGTTTATTGTTTTTGTAAAAATAATATAGAGAAGAAAGTAGCCGTCAGCTGAATTCCCTCTTAACTAGAGATTGATATAGATATATCTATATCTCTATCTGTGTGTGTATAATTTTACATAAATGGGACCAGGCTATACCTGGCTGTAAATTCAGGTAATTAGTGGAATCAAATATGAATTTAGATTGAAGTCTCCTGACAAGCAAGGAAAAAAAGGGATCTAAGAGTTTCAGTTTTTCAGGAGAGAGGAATTTTGTTCTGATATTATATTACCATTTTATGCATCCAGCAGACATTTTAAAAAACTATAATGTGTCAAACGCTAATGTGCTAGGCTAGAGGGGATTCAGGTACTAAGTAAGCATCACAGCCTTTGCCTTAAGAAGCTTACTTGGGCTGATGACATCAAGGACTTGAGCAATGTGATGGCCATTGTCTTCAGTAGCTGTTTTGCCAAAGATTTACCAACATTCTGTTAGTACAATCCTTTTGCCAGCCTAGTAACAGCTTGGGTGTAGTATTGACTTGAGGAGCGGTCGGCAGGGGCTGGCCCTGTCTCCACAGTGAGCCCCCTGTAAGCCTCATGCCACAGGCACTTGTTTAGCCTGAGTCTGGGTGCCTCACTTTGTATTGCACTTTGACCCACCCCAGCTAAAGGCTAAGCCACAGGGTCCCAAGATGACCACTGTGACTTATCACAGCCTCCTCTGGCTCGTGCAAATATACCCAGCCTTCAGCTAAATTCGATTAGTTTTTCTTTAAGAAGGGAAAGAAATCCAATTTTACCAAACATGGGCAGACAGTGGAAGGCGCTTTGATGTTACAACCTCTCAGTGATGCTTTACTTAGTCACAAGTTCATAAGCAAGAAGGCCTAATTACTTGAGAAAACACGGGATTAAAACTGGACACAATGGCTGAGTATCCGCTCTTGGGCAACTTGATTCGAACCCATGCACCCAGTTCGTGTGTGGTGCAAACTTTGATGTGTGCTGTGACAAGCTGAAAGTCATGACCCCCTCAGGGATGCTCCTTCACATGGCATTTGCAGGATGTGTAGGCGGGGAGGCAGGGCCTGCCAGGCCTGTTTGCTCAACTTTGATGTCCAAGCAGCCACAGGCCCCACTGTTTGCTCTTTCACTGAGGGATGGATTGGGAGGCTCCTACCTTTCCCAGTGGACAATGGCCAGCAATGGAGTGTGACGACTGTTGACCATTCCAGGAGCCTGATGGACCAGAACAGGGCTTTGGGAGATGCAGAGCCTGGGGGGCCAAAAGCTGTTTATAGGACAGCCATTTCTCCAGATGTAGCTTTCCTTAAAGCCTAATGTTGGTTGGGTGTTTATTGCGGAGGTAAAAATAGTCTCATGAGTTTTAATAGGTACTAAGTGCTGCTTGACCCTCTATCCAGTAGCACTAAGGTATTTATAAATGGAAAGTTTAGTTCTTTCCTGTTTTCTTCATTAGCATGTATGTGCAGAGGATATTGGTTTGGAAGAAACATGGTATGACTTAAATCCTTATAATTTCTAATTTCTCAAAAGAGAAGCTGTCAAAACACGCCTGATAAAGGAATAGTATCCAGGAGATATAAAGAACTCTTACACATGAATACTAAAAAGATAGCCCAATTTTTAAAAAATAGGCAAAAGATTTGAGCAGACACTATACCAAAGAAGGGATGGATGACAGATAATCACAAGAAAAGTTACTCAGCATTTAGGGAAATGCAAGTTAAAAATCACAGTGAGATAACCACTACACATCTACCCTAATGGTCAAAATTTTATAAACTGATAATACCAAGTGCTGACGAGGTTGCAGAACAGTTGTCATCACTGCCGATAGGAATGCATAATGGTATAGCCACTTTGGGGGAAGACACTTTAGCAGTATCTTATAAAGGTAAAATTACATTTATCATATAACCCAGCAATACCAACTCCTAGGTATTTGTGCATGAGAAATAAAACCATACATCTGCAACAAGACTTGTATGCAGATACTTATAGTAGCTTTATTCATAATCACCAAAAACTCAAACTCACCCAAATGTCCATCACCTGGTGAATGGACAAATTATGGTATATCCATACAGTGGACTACAACCCAGCACTAAAAAAAAAGAACAAACTTCTTGTACATGTAACAACATGGTCAAA